TGTGTGTCTGTGTGTGTAGGCTACTAGTGTCTCAAACAGCCTTGTGCCTTGTTTTGTCCTGATAGGGATCAGCAGTAAATTCATCCTAATTTACTTATCCACAACCTGATGGGTTCATAGAGTTTTCAGGGAAAACCCATGGGGGATTTGCTCAGGTGTGTCCCTGCCAGGGTAGACCTAGCAGGAGGCCAGGATAAAGTGCCAGATAAATTGTAGAGGTTTTAGTAGGAAGCTCCTAGAACACATTTACATTAATGTTTAAGTGTATCAGAGCAGTGGTTCTCAGCCTGTGGGCCATGACCCTCTTTCATGTATCAGCCTTGTCTTCTGTCATGTCCTCTGTATTGTTGAGACGAATACCATGACCAAAAGTAACTGGGAGTGCCTTAGGGTTTCTATTGCTGTGAAAAGACACTGTGACCATGGCAACTCTTATGAAGGAAAACACTTAACTGGGGTGGCTTACAGTTCAGAGTTCAGTACGTTATCATCATAGTGGGACATGGAGGCAGACGTGATGCTGGAGAAGTAGCTGAGAGTCCTACATCTGGCTGGCAACAGGAGGTGGTCTGAGACACTGAGTGGTATCTTGAGCATATAGGAGCCCTCAAAGCCCGCCTCCACAGTGACACACTTCCTCCAGTGATAACACACACACACACACACACACACACACACACACACACACACACTCCACAAGGCCACACCTCCTAATAGTGCCACTCCCTGTGGAGGCCGTTTTCTTTCAAACCACCACAGGGAGACAGGGGTTATTTCAGCTTCCAATGTAGAGTCAGCTCAGGGAAGGAACTGAAGCAGAGGCCAAGGGGGAAGGGATGCTGACTGGTGTGGTCTCCATGGTTTGCTCAGCCTGCTTTCTTATACAACCTAGCATCACCTGCCCAAGGGTGGCACCACCCACACTGGGTTTGACCCTTCCACATCAATCATTAATCAAGAGAGCATCCCACAGACTTTGCTTACAGGTCAGTCTGATGGGGGTGACTTCTCCACTAAGGATCCCTCTTCCAGAGGACTCCAGTTTGTATCAAGTTAACAAAAACAAAACAAAAACCTAACAGCACACCCTCCGATCACTCTGTAGGTCTGTGAATAACCCAAGACTCTCCCTCCC